ACACCCAAAACAAGACAATGCACTCAGCCACTCCCCCCCCCCCCCCATACAAGACAATGCATGAACCATTTTTCCTCACACGCAAAAGCTAAAGACAACTTTTAGCCAACCCACTCAATCATTTTACCCTACACGCAAAAACATAAGACCTTATATATATATATATAAAACCTCAACGTACTCAGTCATATCACCCCTCACGCAGCCCACTTTCACGCAACGCACTCAACCACATTCCCCCACACTCACCCCAACCCCAACCAATCACCATGCCCTCCCTACTCCAAATTTACCCATCCCTCCCTCCCTCCCTCCCTTCCTTCCTCCCTCCCTCCCTCCCTCCCTCCCTTCCCTCCCTCCCTCCCTCCCTCCCTCCCTCCCTTCCCTCCTTCTCTCCCTCTCACTCACCAGGAACGACGCGATATACGGAGAAATGGTAGACGCGAGTTGGGCAAACACACTCGCTGCCCCGATGCCCTGCGACCGCACCTCCGTCGGGAAGAGTTCGGTCGAATAGACGTACACGATCTGGTAGGCGCCGCTGATGCAGAGTTTCCCCGACATGGCCAGCGTCATCACCAGCCAGGAGACGTCTGTGAGTGGAGGATTTATTTATTTAGATGGTGTGGTGGAGGGGGGGGGGGTGAGATGTAGTTTTAAGGTAATGGAAGTTATTCCATATCCCTTTCCTTTATTCCTCTCTTCTTCCTTCCTTCCCTTCTAGCTTTTCCTGCCTCACCGCTCTCTGTCTCCCTCCCTGCCTTCTTCTTCCCTCCCTCCCCTTCACCCCTCCCTCCTCTTTCCCTCCCTCCTTCTTTCCCGTTTCCCTTCCTAATCTCCCTCCCCTCTCTTACTCCTTCTCTCTCCCCCTCCCCTTACCCTTTCGCTCACCAGTAGGGATAAAAGCGAGGGTGAGGATGAGGACGCTGCCTCTTCCCTCCCTCCCTCCCTCCCTCCCTGCCACCCTCACCTACCCTCCCCCATCCCTCCCTCCCCCGTCTCTGCCACCCCCCCTCATCCTCCCTCCCCCACCTTCCCTCTCCCTCACCACACCTCCTTCCTCTTTCCCTCCCTCCATTCTCTCACCCTCCCTCTCCCTCCCTCCCACTCCCCCACCCCCTCTCCCTTCCCACACCTCCCACCTTTCACCCACCCTCCTCCCTCCCCCCACCCCTTATGCTCACCAGTAGGAATAAAAGCAAGCGCGAGGATGAAGACGCCGTTTCTTCCCTCCCTTCCCTCCCTCCTTCTCCCTCCCTCCCTTACCCTCCCTCCCTCCCTCCCTCCCCACCCCCCTCACTCTTCCCTCCCTCCACCCACCGTACTTCGCTCACCAGTAGGAATAAAAGCAAGCGCGAGGATGAAGACGCCGCAGATCAGGTAGCTGGCGGACGTGGGCCACCTCCTGCCGCAGCGCTGTATGAGGGGCGCCGTCAGCGAGTACCCGGGCACCTCCATCAGGCCCCCGAGGATGATGTAGAGGAAGGGGTCGGCGCTGAAGTTGGCGCCGCTGAGGTTGAGGCCGTCGAACACCAGGGACACGGCGAAGAAGTCCAGGCAGACGGCGGCCGTGATGGTGGCGATCTCGCGGGTGCTGAGGGGGGGGAGGAGGAGGAGAGGATGGATGGAGGAAAGGGGAGGGGGAGGAGGTTAGGAAGAGGGAGGGAGAGGAGGTGGGGGAGGAGGAGGAGGTGGGAGAGGAGGAGAGGATGGAGGGAGGGAGAGGAGGGGGAAGGAGGAAGTGGGAGAGGAGGAGAGGATGGAGAGAATGGGAGGAGTAAGTGGGGGAGGGAGGGAGAGGAGGAGGAGGTGGGAGGAGGAGTAGGTAGGGGGAGGGAGAGGAGGAGGAAGAGGGGAAGGGGCAGGAGGAGAAGATTGGAGAGGGAGGCAGTGAGGAAGGGGGAGGTGAAGAAGGAGTATGTGGGGGAGGGAGGGAGAGGAGATGAGGAAGGGGCAGGAGGAGGGGGAGGTGGGAGAGAGAGGGAGAGGAGGTAAGGATAGGAAGTAGGAGGAGGAGGAGGAGGAGGTGGGATGGGGAGGGAGTGGAGGTGAGGATGGGGAGTAGGAGGAGGAAGATGAGGAGAAGGAGGAGGTGGGAGAGAGAGAAGAAGAGACGAGGACGAGGAGGAAGATGTATGGTGAGAGTGAGTCAAGATAGCATTTGTCTGCGTGTGCATGAGTGGGAATGTGTGTGTGTGTGTGTGTGTTTGTACATCCTACATATTTGCACACAGAGACATTTCAGATAAACCATTCATCCAAAAAAACAAAACTTTTCCTTATCACTAAGAACAACTTGTGTCAGCCTCCTTTTTGCTCAGATCCAAGTGTTTGTCTCGCACTTCTCTCGATTTCTTATCTCTTTCCCAGCACACTATAAAGCCCTTAATAATGTAACTATATCTCCTCCCTGTTAATACTCATGTGTGGGTTAAGTGTCTTCGATTTGTTCCTCGAAACAGGGTCGAAATGCTAAAAAAAAAGGTACAAAGAGAAAAATTGAATGAAAACAAACATGGTACCAGATGTGCTGTTGAATATGAATTTGTCTGCAATGATTTTTTTTTATTGCCTTACCGTACAGTATATATATACTGCAAATATATATTTACATCTATTTATCTATCTCTCTATACACACACACACATATATATACGTACATATATATATGTGTGTGTGTGTGTGTGTGTGTGTGTGTGTGTGTGTGTGTGTGTGTGTGTGTGTGTGTGTGTGCATAAGAATAGTGTCCTCGTTTTTTAAAAGAGGGAGATTTAAACTCCACTATCTATCCTAGTTCTGTGCGATAAGAGAATGTTTAAAATATATCACGTGTTCATATCGATTAATAAATAAGATATTGCATCTTACCTGAGTAAAGCAGGCGCGCTGAGGAATCTGCATTTCTTACTTTTGTCTCCTGCTTTAGGTTTGTGCTTCGCTGTTGTGGACTGGTAGTTCGATTCGAGAGAGAGAAAAAAACAAATCCTTTATTACAAAATCTATTCGTACTTGTTAACTGATAACATATACTCTACACGCACAAAGCCTCTTACAAAATATCCTGAGAACAAGCAGTCTCAAATACCACTTGCATTATACAGAAAAAAAAATAAAATTCACCATAAGACCAACAAAGAAGCAACAGCGAGGCACCAACCTCCTCCTGAATGTCAGACATGAGAGCGTATAGGTTACTCGGAGGCGGTAAGGTCGCTTTGTTCCATCGGGCGGCCTTCTGCAGGACTTTCAGGGCCTTCTCGTGGTGCCCTCGGACGATGAGCCAACGCGGGGACTCGTCCAGCATGCTGCGACAGGGAGACAGGCGGAGAAAGAGAGACAGGAAAAGGAGACAGAGGAAGGATAATGGGAAGGAGGAATGGGTAGAAAAAAAGTTCATCAGTTTTGGTGTATTTTGAGGTTACATATATACATTTTTTTTTTTTTTAAGAAATACATCTGTAAATAAGGGCTATGAACCGTTCAAAATTTAATAGATTAAATTATTATTCACTGAATTATTACATAAGAAACAAATAAAACTCAAGCACCACCACACTATGCCCAGTACTATTGCAAAAAAAAAACACACGGACACCCACTACAAGAACGGGAAGACCAGCAGCGTCGGGAGAGACACTGCCAGCTGTAGCCATCTCCAGTCACGAATGAAATACGCCATCATGCCCCACCACATGGTACCCAGTGCCCATGGCAGGCCGATCAAAATGCCCACGGTAGAACGGTGCTTTGGCTCACACACCTCCATAGCTGATGAGTTAGTTTGAAATTGATTAATACTATTATTATTAAAATTATTACATAGATTATTATTATTCATTATTGAGCACTATAAGAGAAGATTTACATGATTTACGGAACGAACAACAAATCGTGGCGTTTCGAACCCGAAAAGATTCCTCGTCAGATGATAGAATTAATAAATATAATAAATAAATAAAACCGTATCCCACGCGGAGTTTTATTCCCACCGAGGATGTCGACCTTATCCGAAACGTCACTGTATATTTTTTCCACTCTCACTGAAACTTTTACACCCCACCTTAATACACACGTTACTGTGTTCGTTTCATTCGATCTATTTATCTATCTATCCATCTATATACATATTTCTTATAGTATATGTAATCTTACTCTATATATCATATTTTCTTGCACTCTCACTGTAAGTCGTACATCCCAGCTTAATACACACGTTGCTATATTCTTGACAGTCTATCTATCTATCTATTTCTTTTCTTCCTTCTTTCCTTTCCTCCCTCCCCTTCTCCCTCCCTCCCTCCGCTCTCCTCCCTCCCCTCCCCCTCCCTCCCTTCCCTCTCCTCCCTCCCCTCCTTTCTCTCTTCCTTCCTTCCTCCCTCCCTCCCTCCCTCCCTTCTTCCCTCCCTCCCCTCCCCCTTCCCTCCCTCCCCCCTCCCTTCCTTCCCTCCCCTCCCTCCCCTCTTTCCTTCCTTCCTTCCTCCCTACACCTTACCCAGAACGAAGAAAGTAAGGAGGTTAACGGAGCCCATGACGAAGCGAACAGCCAAGATAAGAGTGAAGTTCGACAGGAAAACGATGCCCACGGACGTTATTGTCACCACCACCTGTGTTATGATCACAACCACTAGACGTCCGTACCTGTGGAGGCGTTGTTGTTATAATATTTATTAACACCATTTTTATAATAATGATAATAATGATAATAATAATCAGTATCATTTATTATTATTATTACTATTACTATTATTATTATCATTATCATTACTATTATTATTAGCATTACTATTATTATCATTATTAGCCTTACTACTATTATTATTATCATCATCATTGAAATTATCATCATCATCATTAACATCATCAACAATATAATCATCAGTAGCATCATCATTATCATCATTACCATCAATATTATTATCATCATTACTGCTACTACCATTACTACTACTGCTACTATCACTACCATTACAACCACTACCATTACTATTCTATCATCATCACCATCATAACTACCAGTTACTAGAGGAAATAGTAATATTATCATCAATACCTTTACAACACTTAAGAATTCGAAACACGTGTATTTTTCTATTTAAAAAAATCCCAAAGATCTTGTTTTGTTATGCAACAAAGAGACAATAATCGACGGGAGATAAGATAAAGAAGCAGATGTTGAATATATAGATAATAATTAAAAGACTAATATTCAAGGCTGATAGAAGTTGATATGTCCCCCACGACGAAATGTTTTGAAAATTGATAGATGAATAAAAGATTTTCACGCACCAGTGATAAGCTTGGACAGTAAGACAAACTTTAGGGGGGAAATATAAATGGTTTGGTTCTATAAACAAATTTATGTATTTATTTTTCAATGCGTAAAATACTGAATATTCACCAGAATGATAGTAGAACGTTTTTTTTCTTTTGGAAAATACTGAAATTCTATGGAAACATTGAACAAAAGAAATAGACTCAGACTAGCAATGACAAATCATTTTTTTTTAATAATAGATAAAAAAGAGAAGGGATATTTTTATGTATTAAAAAATGAAGAAAATAGGTCCAAACCTGGGCAAATTCCAAAATGATCAGATTTTCCTTCTTTCTTTCTTTCGTTTACTTTTTTGAACGAAAATTATAATAAAAATGTGATTACAGTAAACATTACATTGTATGTAGTGCAGAAGACCATGGCAACATTAGACTATAACTCTTCTCTCTCTCTCTCTCTCTCTCTCTCTCTCTCTCTCTCTCTCTCTCTCTCTCTCTCTCTCTCTCTCTCTCTCTCTCTCTCTCTCTCTCTCTCTTTCTCTCTCTCTCTCTCACTCTCTCACTCTCTCACTCTCTCACTCTCTCACTCTCTCACTGTCTCTCTCTCTCTCTCTCTCTCTCTCTCTCTCTCTCTCTCTCTCTCTCTCTCTCTCTCTCTCTCTCTCTCTCTCTCTCTCTCTCTCTCTCTCTCTCTGTTTATCTCTCTGTTTATCTCTCTCTTTCTCTCTAACTATCTATCTATCTATCTATCTATCTATCTATCTAATTCCCTCCTAGATTAATTAACACTTTACCTTGTAGACCACTTTACCTGTCTGCCAAGTAGCCACCCAGGAGAGGGCTGACGAAGGTCCCCAGCATGTAGATCCCCTGATAAGTAGCCTGGAGGTGTTCCCGCTCGCACACCAGGTCAAACTAGGGCAGAGAAATAAATGTGTCACTAGAAGATAGGAAGATAAGTGTGTATGTATTTATACATACATACATACATAGATAAATGAAAATATATATATATATATATATATATATATATATATATATATATATATATATATATATATATATATATATATATATATCAATCCTCCCTGACCTGGCCTGGCCTCGAACCCAGGTCACTCCGGGTATGAGACCGGAGGGCCAGTACTAAACCAACCATGCCACGCGACCCACTAAAAGGAGTGTGCAACTAGGATCTAACTAGCTCCATAGACATTACCTATCTACCCATACATGAGTAATGATAGCGAGATTTTACACACGCTCCCCGTGGGCACTCGGTGGAAATTGATTTAGAAATTCGAAACCGAAGTCAGATATCCTGAGGTGTATATATATGAAAGTTGGAATAATGCAATGCCGTATTGATATATATATATATATATATATATATATATATATATATATATATATATATATATATATATATATGCGTGTGTGTGTGTGTGTGTGTGTGTGTGTGTGTGTGTGTGTGTGTGTGTGTGTGTGTGTGTGTGTGTGTGTGTGTGTATGTATGTGTGTGTGTGCGTGTGTGTGTGTGTGTGTATGTGTGTGTGTGTGTGTGTGTGTGTGTGTGTGTGTGGGTGTGTGTGTGTGGGGGGGTGTGTGTGTGTAGAGAGAGAGAGAGAGAAAGAGAGAGAGATTGAGAGAGAGAGAGAGAGAGTGAGAGAGAGAGAGAGAGAGAGAGAGAGAGAGAGAGAGAGAGAGAGAGAGAGAGAGAGAGAGAGAAACGAAGAGAGAAATAAGAAAGATAAAGAGAAACGAAGAGAGAAAGAAAAAAGGCGAAAGAAAGAGTAAATAAATCAAGAAAATAAGACAAAGCAAAACCAACAAGCAGTCCCCGAGAATGATAAAAAAGACGCCTTTCTCACCTCGGACGTCAGCGTGGAGGTGAAGACGGAGGTATCGAAGTCCCACTCGGTGCAGGGGAACTCCTCCTCGACGCCTGAAGACCCGTTGGTTGAGTACTTGCACGAGTTCCTGTCGAGATCGAGAGCCACTTAGACCAAGGCCACGTCGAGATCGAGAACCACTTAAGTGAAAGGCCGTTTATTGCGTGTTTATAAGTATATATTCACAATGATACATATAAGGGCAGTTAAGAGTGCGAGGAATTCATCGATAGCACTATCATCATGATCGTCCATGCGAAGGTATTCTGAATATTTTCCAAATTCTCTACACAACATATATGTATCTGCACAGACGCTGTCTACATCTCCCATC